CTGAGCGCTTGACGTAACAAATCCTTCAATTCTAAAAGTGTTGTATCGCCAAATGCCCAAATTAACAATTGTGTTCTTAAAGAAATTCTATAAAAGGTTTTAAATAAACAACCTACTTCTACAACTGCTTCTTGAAGAATTTGACTCATTGATTAAAAATATTGTTTTAATTTTACAGTACTACAACTTCATGCTAAATTTGAGGACTTTAAGTTGTTTTGTGGTTGAATACTGACATTTAGAAATGTGTACATAAAAGAAAGGGGGCGAAGCCTCCTAGTTATATATAATTCTCTTACGTGGCTCCCAAATTTTGGCTGTATCTCTTTTCCGCCGGTGGCAACGTTTGCTTTGTTTTGAAAACACCAAAGCATTCTGCCTTTTAATGATGTGTTTCTGATCTAATATAATTCTCTTACGTGGCTCCCAAATTTTGGCTGAAGTACACTGTACAACTAAATAAGATTCTTTTCACAACAGTTAAATATTTACTGTGAAAGCAGTTAATACTTATAGCAGTTAATATCACAACATTAAAATGAACTGTGAAAGCAGTTCCGGGGGTTGGTGAGCGCCAGCGAGCAGGGGGCGAAGCCTCCTAGCTTATAATAATTCTTTTAAGCGTGTTTTCAAAAAATTACTTATTTGAAACCAACGGTAATGGAATAGAAAGAAAATATTTATGAATTCAAAAGAAAAAAAAATAAGGGGAAAGTGGTATTAATTCGTTTATGATGCTTAAATTATTAAGGCAATGTATGCATATTTAAATAAAAGAAATAAGCTAACGTATGACAAAGTAAAAGAAATGGAGTTAAAGGTATTTGTCTAGATAATCGTAAAAATTCGCCATACTAACTTTGACGACAATGATGCTTAATTAATGTTGGTAATATGTATTAATTGAAATTAAAAAAAAGTAACCTCTGAACTAAAAACGTTAAAATAAGTGGAAAAGATACATCTTTCGCGTTTTCTGTAACCGTAAAAAAATCTGCATATTATTATTGACAATAATGATACTAATAACGTTAATGTGATTAATTGAAATAGAATAAAATAAGTTATGTGCTAAATAGCCAAGCTCATGGAAGAAAGATTAATGGGAAATTCGTTTAAGAAAACCGTAAAAAATCGCCATTCACAGATGCTGCTGAATTCATATGGTAATTGGTGAATTTGTATTTATAAGAATTTTACAACTGGTTTTCCGTAGTTTCAGAAAAATATTTTTTTCAGTGGTAGCTAAGATAGTGTATTAATATTTTAAGGAAACAGAATTAAAAGAAATTATTTCCCACCGTCACTTATGAATATTTTAACAGTAAATTAAAGATCAGATGGAAAAATAGTCCTGCTCCAAAATCCTTATGAAGTTCCAAAATATTTTTTTTTTAAAATTCGGTTTCGGTTGGCTGCCACTTACAAATTTGTATAAACTCAAAAGTTAATGAGTACCAAGTATGCTTATATAGGTATTTAATATTATATTGAAATATTTTGTGATTTTTAAGGCAGAACCAATCAGTTTTGATACCTATACTTTGGAATTAAATGTCTTACGACCTCTCGAAAGGGATATGTACCTGAGAAAATCACTTAATGGTGGCAAAATTTAACTATCATAAATCGGCAGCGAGGAATAGCATCATGCCACGAAATGCTAAATACAATTTATCTTTATTCCAATTGTATGAATTACAAGCAACGAGCTTTGCTGACTTCAATAACGTAAAGCCACCGAAGATTACAACATATAACATTAAATAAATGCTTTAAGAATTATTTTAACTTTATTAATTGAAAAACTTAGTGGAAGAGCCAGGTAAGGGACATTTTCAGAACGAAAAATGAACATATGTTTCAGCATTATTTTACTATTACCAATTTATTCGAAGGAGGGACTCAAAATTCTTTGCTTTATTTTACATACCACTGCCTAATTTGAAATAAAAATCATGAAAGCATGCTATAAACTAATATGTATCAGTTATGTTGAGATAAAAGTGTAAGCAAAAACAGTGGAGTACACTAAACATACCCATAATTTATGTTATTTTCTCTAATTCATTAATTCCCTTACAAATGTTATTCACCTGTTATTCAATAATTCAATGCTTTTCAACATTGCACACAGAAAATACAAATTTAATTCCTATAAAAAAATAATTGTGTCTAGTTCAGCCACCTGCGTATTTGATCTTAAATAACTATAAATGTATTTGCATGTCAATAATCGTCTTTTTCCAGCAACTTGGCAAACAGAAATTGCGGCAGGTCTCTGGAATATCTCCAGGATACAGTGAAATTGTTGGAGAATGGGAAAATTTGAAGCTTCAGCTTCGGTCAAGACTCAGCTTCAAACATATTTTCAGAAGAGTTTTGCAATGAATATTAGGAACAGGAATCACCATTAGATATAATTGTAACTCTGTGAAAAATTCCCATGTTTTCACTTAACCTCTGTCATTTGAAACTAGTGAATCGATTATTGGCGCTGCATGAAATAAATAAAAAGAATTTTTTTTCAGTAAGAAGTATTTTCCATAAGGTTTTCTTTTTGGAGTAGAGGGATAATTTTGTAATTTTGGCTGGTAAATTTTTTTCAGAAGAAAAATCCCTTTTTTTTCACGAATTATTAAAAAAAAAAAAAAACAAGATGTGTGTGGTGTACTTTTTGCTTACAGACTTAAGTGTGTATTATAAAAAAAAACTTAAGCAAAACAGAATTAAATCACAAATCTATGGTAACTTACTCAATTTTCACATTACGCGCTCTGAACTTTGAAGCTCGTTCCTATGTCGTTAAAAAGGAAATAATTAATCAGAAAATAGTTTTAGAAATTGTGTTTTAGCCTCAATATGCTTAAATAAGTTTGCGATGTGTTATTGTTCAGCTGAATAATGTGAAACTGAACTGAAGTCAACGGGACTAATAGTTCAGAAGTTATGAAAGTATCTGTATAAAAATACTATTTTATACTTGTGAACTCTTCAGTCATTCTACAAAAGATTGGGTATACTTTCTGCTATGTAGATTAAATCAGAGCAAAACCATGAATAAAGCACAAATAAAAGTACATAAATGGACATAATATAGTTTCATTTCCATAAACAAGAACCTTCAAAACAAGAGTCTAAACACCAAATGATGATTAGTCGGTGTTTTGACATTAAGGAAGGCTCTTGTTTACAGAACTGAAACTGTAGTGTGATCATTTATGTACTTTCATTTATGCTTTATTCAAGTTAAATTTTGCTGTAGACTTTTGTCATTGCTGTAAAGCAGGGATAGTGGGCCTTTTGCGATTGCAGTGTGGTCGGTGCAAGCCGGATGTGGAATTCGCATCGACCAGCCATCACTGGAATTCGAACCCAGTTCACCTCAATGGAACACGGACGCTCTATCCCCTGAGCCATCACGGCTCAAATGCATGCATTGTATAAACATCAAGTTAGGTTGGTATATGTTGTGATATCAATGCATATTAAAAAATTTATCCCATTTTCATTTAGTGATTACAGCGCCATCTATGCACTCAGAAAGCAAAAATTGTTGTTGAGACACTTATATCAGGAATAATCAAATTTGTAATAAAAATTGGAGATTATTTTTTATAATTTTTAAACTGCCCCTCATCCCATCTCCAAAGGGTTGTGGTTTGAGGAGTCTAGTTTAGTATCGTTGCATTCATTGTAAAAACCTCGTAGGCATGTAAATGTCGTATAAATATCGAGTTTGGTATCATTGTGAAAACTTGTATTCACGCGTTTAGTATTCAAACGCGTAACGCGTGAATTTATGTTTCGATGTGCATTTCCTGATAGATTTCATACTTTTTGGACTTCCTGTAAACGCACAATGATTAAAAATGTGTAATTACATAATCAATTAAAAATGTATAACTGTTTATAATTATTTTTTTATTTTCTTTAATAGATGTCTGAAAAACAGTTTGAGAAAGTTGAGCCTGGGGCAGAAGGTTTTAAAGCGGTGAAGCGAAGGGTGGAAATTGTTGACGATGATGATATTGCCTTTCTTGGTGCATATCCTAAGAAAATAAAACAGGTGGAAATTGTGGTAAATGTTGACGTTGGAAATGAAATTTGTTTTAAAGAAAGCAATGAGAACAATACAGTCATTGTCAATAATTCCATTATTAAGAAAGAAAATGAAGATATCAATGTTAGTGTACAGAATAATACTATCGATAATATCGGTACTGAAGCTGTTGTACAAAATTGTGAAAACAATGTAAGAGATGGATACATTGAGGATATTTCTCATTTAACTAATGCACAACAGGAACATGATGGTGACATTATAAACAACTCTGTTAATAAAATGGAAGGTGTAGAAAATCTAATTTGTTTCAAAGGAGTAAATGAGGACGATACTGCTGCTGGGAACAACTTTGTTGTTAAAAAAGAAATGGAAGACGATGATATTGTCTTTCTTGGTGTATTTCCTAAAAAAATAAAACAGGAGGAAGTTGTGTTAAATTTTGAAGTTGCAAATGAAATTGGTTTTAAAGAAAGCAATGAGAACAATACAGTCATGGTGAATAATTGCATTATTAAAAGAGAGAATGAAGATATCGAAGTTACTGTACAGAATAATACTGTCGTTAATATCAGTGATGAAGTTATTATACAAAATTGCGAAAACAATGTAAGGGATGGAAACTTTGATATTTCTCATTTAACTAATACACGACTGGAACATGATGGTGACATTATAAATGACTCTGTTAATAAAATAGAAGGTCTAGAAAATTTAATTAGTTATAAGGAAGCAAATGAGGATACTGCTGTTGTGAACAATTTTGTTGTTAAAATAGAAAATAATGATGTGGATGTAAGTACAGTGGGTTATATTAGACAAGAATGTGCTATAGAAAACAATGTGGATAATGATAATCAAAGTGGTGAAGGGATTTTTGAAAAAGATGGAGATATTGATAAACAAATAGAGGTTGATATTGTACTAAAAAAAGAAAAAGATGTGGATGAAAGTATTGCGATTAATAGAACGGATAATATTCTTAAAAATTGTGACAGCAACGTAAAAAGTGATGTAACCTTATGTGTAGACTCTATTAGATTGACTATTAAGCAAGAAAAGGATGCTGATGATACATCTATTAATTTAGAAGCTGCTAACCTCAATTTTGATTGTCCTTCAGTACCCATAAAAAAAGAAAATACAAACGATGTACAGTGTTCTGTTGGACCATCATTAGTAACAGATAATTCTACTGAATTAACCTCCATGATGGATCTGAACGAGTCCTTGCATTCAAATGAATCACTAGCTAACGCGATATTCTCATCGGATTCACGGAAGCAATTCGATTTTCATTGCTTGAGCAAAAAGAGCGATGAGTTAGAAGTTGCGACTGACGACGAAGAACTGTGCGACACCGCCCCTTCATCGCCGGTGTCAGAAGATGATGGAATAACTCCCGAAGACCTTGCGGTTATGAATTTGATGCAGACTGAAGCCAATGCCAGGTTGTTCGAATCGTCTGTACTCAGGAATAATGGTGAGCTTACAATGAATAAGCATTGCGATTTTTATGGTTTAAGCCAACTTGATTTTAAAACAAAAATAGAAAGCATTGATCTCTCTAATTGCTCCTTGATATTGACAGCCATACGGAAAAGATTGGAAGATTTTAAAATTGATTCATCAACAAATGATGTAAGCTTTGTAGAAGATATAAAGAACATACTTTTGATGAGTAAGGGAGATAAAATGACTTCAAAATCACCTACTCTAGAATCTGATCAAAAAGGGTCTGAACAGTCTTTAGGTCACCATAGTCCTATCTACACATGTCTTCGCCAAGAACCAATCGTATTTGAGACTCCAGAAACGGGAGGATTTGATCTGAATGCCGTGAGATGTCTAAAAAATTGGCAAAATGACGAGATTAGAAAGTTAATCTATCCCAGAATACAAAATGGGATTCCACGGACAACTGAATCTGATCTAAGAAATAACATGCAAGTAGGGAATGTAAGATTGAGAACTTTAGCTTCAGAACGGTTTCCCTCATCAGCCGGTAACTCAATTAGAATCAATGGTAACAGTTTGCAAAAGAAAAGGAGCTATCCAGGTAGTAACATTTTAGAACCTGTAATATCGTCTCCGGAAGCGGTTCCAGTTTCGGCTACTTTAGTTTGTCGGAAAAAACCCCTTTCTAACAACGCAGAACCACCCAAAAAGATTCAGAAGATCGTTGTAGCAGCTCCGGAAATTTCAGGTGATGTTATCGTTCATTCGTGTTTAGTAAACGATCCATTAAACCCCTCTCGAATTAGCAGTCTAGAAAAGGAAAGCATAATTGCGGAGCCTAGCTCACCCGTAAAAGATTTGAGGGAATATTTAAACAGGAAAAAGAATGGTCATTAAAAAATGTTCAGAGGTTGTTATTGTTGAAGTTTACCGTTTTGACAATACCTCATTGCATTGATGTGTGATATACTACAGTCATTAATGTGTATAATTACTGTATTCTAATCTGTTTATATTCTTACTGTACTGTATTCTATTCTATCTAATTTCTTCTCTGTAATCTAAATACATTCGTAATGCTTTTATTTCCAATATGAATAAGCTTTACACATTAATCGAAAATTATTCATTTTGATAAATATTTTATCTCTTTCCCATCATTTAAAATAAAGCTGAGCTGTTTTTGAAAAATTAGTGTTAGCTAAATTCTGCCTTATTTTAAATTGTGTAACAATTGCTCGATGAGTTATTTTTATAAAATGGTTAGAAATAAATATTTAAACAGGAAAAAGAATGGTCACTAAAAATATGTTCTGAATTTGTTACTGTTGAAGTTTACTGTTTTTGCAATATCTCGTTGTGTTGTTATGTGACATACTATAGTTATTAATGTATATTATTACTGTATTCTAATCTATATATATATTATTATTGTACTGTGGTCTATTCTATTTAATTCTTTTCTGTAATCTAAATACATTCGTAATGTTTTGATTTTTGATATGAATAAGCTTTACACATTAATCGAAAATTATTCATTTTGATAAATATTCCATTTCTTCCCCACAATTTAAAATAAAGCTAAGCTGGTTTTGAAAAATTAGTGTTAGCTAAATTATGCCTTATTTTAAGTTGTGTAACAATTGTTTGATTTATTATTTATATAAAATGGTTAGAAATAAATATGACTTAACCGGATAAATATTTAGAAATAAATATTTAAACAGGAAAAAGAATGGTCATTAAAAAAATGTTCTGAAGTTGTTATTGTTGAAGTTTACCGTTTTGACAATACCTCATTGTGTTGTTGTGTGACATACTAAAGTTATTAATGTGTATTATTACTATATTCTAATCTGTTTATATTATTACTGTACTATATTCTATTCTATCTAATTTCTTCTCTGTAATCTAAATACATTCGTAATGTTTTTATTTTCGATATGAATAAGCTTTACACATTAATCGAAAATTATTTATTTTGTTAAATGTTCCATTTCTTTCCCGTTATTTCAAATAAAGCTAAGCTGTTTTAGAAAAATTAGTGTTAGCTAAATTACGCCAATTGTGTAACAATTGTTCGATTTGTTATTAATATAAAATAGTTAGAAATAAATATGACTTAGCCTTTTTTCATACTTAAAATACTTATGGATTTTTTATGCTATTTATTACATGAAATTATGGAGTTCTCAAAAATGTTTTAAAACTATCCAATGATTATTTTACTAAAATATTTAAATTCGGTTTTTTTATTATTTTAAGAGTTGCCGAAATTGCATTTTTTATTTACAATATTTTTCCTTCATTTTATTCCTCCCAAATTTATTTTAATTTATTTTCAAACATGTAGATGTATAACTTAAAAACATGATTTCAATCATAAAGAAATACGTGTTTGATTATAAAAATAATTTCAATTATTAATGTTAATCGAGAAGTATTGTTCTTGCATACATATAAAAATGAAATGTTATATTTCTAAAATCTAAAACAATATTAATGGTTTAATTTGATTGAAGTTTTTATATTTGTTACATTTAAAAGGTTCGAAAATTAAAATTAAATTGAAAATTTTAACTAATATGTTAAATGACGTTCTATATATTGAACATGTACTTACTTTTCATGTACTAATATTTTTCCTATTTTTATGTCTAAATTATAAGTTAGAATTGTGAAAAGAAGTTACTGTAATTTTTTTTTATATTTTAAATAATAAAGCAATGCTAATGCTTGTATATTATGTTCTGTGCTTATTTTGCTTAAAAATTTTGAGTTTCGTCAAATATTTAAATTTTATTTCCATAATATGATTTCATTGATAATTTTGAACCAAAATAATGGTTGCACTTGAATTTCTTTATTATTATTGTATTTGCTTAGTTGTAAATTTAACTGAATTATAACCTAAAATTTCCTGTCATTAACATTTAAATAGCAATGCTCCCATTTGAATTTGTTTCATATTATTGTATTGGTTTTATTTTCAAATTTAAAATTTCGTTAAAAACTGAATTGTTAGTAAAAAATATCCGAACATTGACATTTTTAGCATAGCACATAAACATTGTTCTAGCTTGAATTTGTTTAATTTATTGCATTTGTTTTTAATCTTAGAATTTCGTTTCGTCGTTCGTTAACTTCAAGAATATCCTGTCATTTATAACTTTAAACTAAAGCAATCCTCATGCTTGTATTTGAACTATAGTATTTATTTTGTTTCTTAAATATGAAATTTCTTTAAGAACTAACTGCAATTTAAAAATAATTCTATACTATTCAATTTTAAACTAGCACACACAGAATTTGTTCAATACTTTGTATTTGTTTTAAGTTTAAAATTTGGTTAAACTCTAAATTGTAACTTCAAAAGTATTCTGTCATTGATATTTTCAACACTGCACACATTTCTGTTGAGCATTATTATATTTAATTTTTGAATTTAAAATTTCATTGAAAATTGAATTGTAACTTCAAAAGTATTTGATTTTTTTTAAGTAAAACTTTGCTTACATTTGAATTTAATATTATTATGTTTGTTTGTTTTTTTAATTTCGTTAAAATTTTAATTGTTTATATTGTAAGTTACCTGAAATTAATATTTTAGAAATTACTCTTTCTTTAATTAGTCTGTTACTTTATTTGTTTCTGTGCTTATTTTGTTTAAAATTTTTTAATTTTGTTAAATATTGAATTGCTATTTTGGAAGTATCATTTCCTTGACAATTTTAAACTAAAACAATGATTGCTCTTGAATTTTTTTACTATTATATTTGCCTAATTTTTAAATTTAAAATGTTAACTTCAGAAACTTAATTATAACCTAAAAATAACCTGTCATTGACATTTAATAAAGCAATACATAAATTTGAATTTGTTTCAAATTGTTACGTTAGCTTTATTTTCAAATTTGAAATTAAACACTGAACCCGTTAAACTCTGAATTGTATCTTCAAAACTATCCTGTCATTTACAGATTTAAATTAACACAATTCTCACGCTTGAATTTATTCAATACTTTGTATTTGCTTTCAACTATTAACTTTTGTTAAACACTGAATTGTAACTTCAAAAGTATTCTGTCATTGATATTTTCAACAGAGCTCATATTTGAATTTGTTTAATATTAGGTTAGCTTTTTTGATTCCGTTAAAACTTTAATTGTATAATATTGTATAAATAACCAGAAATTAATATTTGGAAAATTGATCACTCTTGAATTAGTTTAATTTTACTGCATTTGTTTTGCTTGTACATACAATTTAGCAAAATTAAAAACATCTTCGAATTTATATTCTGGAAAATAAAACGTTGCTCATTGTTCAAGTTTGTTTAAAAATCCTGTGTGCTTTTTTTTAAAATTAAAAGTAGCAAACATTTGCTCTAATTTTGTTCCTTATTCTTTCATTCTTATTTTAATAATGTGATTACAAATATCATTTCCTGAAAACCATTTTGAAGGGATAAAAATTCTGAAAATTTTATATCATTTTCAAAGCAGTATGATTTTTTATGTGAGGTATTTAAACTGTAAAACATTAAACACTTGATTCGTCGTTTATGCTTTTAAGGTATAAAATATTTTTGTAATTGTTTCTTTGTAAGTCAATAATTTATTGCGCTCGTTCTTATGCAACATATATTCTATTGTAACTACGACACTGTTTTTCTCGTGTTTATTTCAGTATTTTTTGTTTTAGATAAATTTATTATCAACTTCTTCTATTTGACAGAAAAAAAATATTATTACTGCAGTTTATTGTTACGTAATTTATATGCTGAGATTAAAACTGAATCAGTTATAAATGCCTTTTCTCTCATGTTTTAAAAAAATAAATTAACATGTTCTTATGCAACATATATTTTTCTCTATCTCCCACACTGTTTTGAAATACTATTACTATTTTTGTGTATTTAAAAGCTAGGGAACTTTGTCGATGATGCAACTTGTATTATTATAGAAATTCAATGCAATGTGTTTCGTGTGTATGGTGATAAAATGTAAAAAAAATACTTGATTAGTTATTTATTTTATGTTTTATTCATTCATTTACAAAACATAAATAACAGAACATAAATGTTGATTTGCAAAAAATTACATGCAATTGATATTAATTACAGTAAATAAATAAAAAAAATTCTACTGTAAATGGTTAACTGTAAATATTAACAATGATAATGATTGAATACTATGCATTCATAAAATAATTTCAATTTAGTGCAATTTGATTTTCACGGGAAGGGCAATAATTTCACCTTGAGTTTTTTCTATAATTTCATGTTTTTGATAAATATTAGGACTTCTCCCTCACTTATCATGGCACACTAACTCCTACAAATTTCTTCTTCTTTACCATTGCTTTTTTTTCTTATCTTAAAATTTTATAAAAAAAAATCGTTTGCTTTATGGAATTTATAATTATAATTTTATGTGAGAAAATTTTGTTAATATGTAAATCGTTAATAGTTAAAGGAAAACTAGTTTTGAAAAATAATTAAATCTTAAAAAAAAAATTCTTGCGCTTTTAACGGTTTAATCACAGTGTGACGATAAGCTTATGTCATCCAATTGGAAACATTTTTCTTACTCCTTAAGGTTTTTATATTTTTAAAACTTTCTTATCAAATTTTAAGATCTATTTCTGGCAACTTATTTAATCTCTCACTTATTTTTTTCATTATTTATTCATTTTTTGTTACTTTTCATATCAAGTCAAGCTCGAGTTTATAGAACGTAGATCTCGAAAGGGAAATATTCTACAATAGATAATTAGTCACAATGTAAAAGGAAATATGTTCTCAAATTATAATTGAAAAAAATACCACTTTGATATTGTTTAAATTTACTATTACTATTTTTTGAATACGCCTTATGTTGTTTTAAAGCATAAGTTTGGCTTGTGGTTGAAATGAGAAAAATTCAATGTGCAATTTTTTTTTTACAATTTGTGCATGAAGCTGATCGTTAAGTTCTAGATCATTAATCGACACTCTTTAATTTATAGTACTAAGTAACTGTAATTTGCACCATAAACTAATTTGCAAAACTCTTAATAATTTCAGACACCAATTTAAATAAGTTTATCTTAAAATGTTGTGTATTAAAGCAATAGAATCACGTCGTACTGAATCAAAAATATTTCGGGCATACATCTTTAAATTAGTTATAAAAATATTTTATTGGAAGGCGATACCTTTATGACATTTGTGAATTTAATCCTGATGACAACCTTAAAGTATGTGGAAATTAATGTGGGAAAACTGTATCCTATCATGTGATTTTCCGAGTAATAAAAATGCACCTACAATGGAAAACTGTGTTAGACCATTCTTTTCTTAAATCGTGCATCATAATTATGCTGCAACATTCACAATGTTTATAAAAAAGTACGAAATTAAAATATTTCTAAAATTTTTTCTCTTAATAGTTATGTTTTCTGTTCATTGTTGTACGCTGTTCATAATCTGACTGTTGGATCGAACAGGTTTGTCAGTAATTTTGCTTAACTCTTTTCTTTCTTTCCGTTTGCAGCAATATCTGAAAAAAAATGAACAAATCTTGTTATAAATTGTTCAGTTAGTATTTTACAGTTGTAATTACGACTGGGAAGTTGACAACTTTAAAATTTTTGAAAAATTCCTTTAAAAGCCCTTTAAAAATGGGTTTAAATTGAGAAATAACACCTTTTTAATCTTCACGCCGTGCTTTATATCAACTATTTTTTTAAAAATATATATAAATTGTAACTTGTGTTCATGAATTTAATAAAACAAAGTAGTAAGTAAAATAAATGCGCAATTCCTTAATTTATTGTAATTGAATTTTATTATCAAAAGCTCTTTTTTTTTTTGATATTCTTAAAAATTTTCTTTTTTAAAAAAAAGCTTGCATCAGTATTAACACTTGTTATTGGAGTAAATTTAAAATACAATATTCATTGCTAGATTTGTAGTAATTTATAAAGAAAAAAAATAATTTATAAGCAAAAAGCTTTTTAAATGAAGAAAAAAAATGTCAGTCAAAATTGATGAAAAAAATATTAATCAAAATTTACCAAAAAAGAAAGAAAATCTAAAAAAGTAAAAAAATGACCAAAGAATTATTACATTATTCGAGCGAAAATGCAAAAAATGATAAATAAAAGAAATCCTTTAATGTCAACATTCTAGCACTATGCAATACTAGAACGTAAAATACTTTACAATGTCCTTTAGCGATTAGTAAATGGTGTGCCACATCGTATTTTACAAGTCATACAAAAATATGTGACAGATATATTGACTTTTAACAATTTTGGCTTTATTTCGGACTGTTACTTCCCCCCGAATTTTTCATAAATCCTGTACTTTTTCCACAGCGGTCAGGTGACCAAGCTGTCAGGGTGCATGGCTGTGACGACAGTGATCCCTGGTTCGAATTCAACTCTGGTACAGGGGGTTGTCTTTCTATCTGCGGTTGTCTTCTGTTGTGTGGTGTGTGAATTCAGTACACCCTATTAACGGTTAACTATGACAGTATGACGTGGGTAATGTACTTTGCCTCCGTGGCTATGGCAATGAGCAATACTTCTGGCATCTTTGATGGCGAAGAGCGTAATGAATAGTTCAGTGCCGGCCATTAAAGAAAATATTTTGCTGCTCAAGTCATGTAACTATAAATTAGTATAGTATTTATGTGAAAATACACAACTATAAGTGTGGCGTTAAGAGGAGTAAATCATGATTTAAGAAACGTTTTCAAATATCATTTAATGATAAAATCTACCTATGTTACTGGCAAAGTTTGAAATCCGGCATCGTATATAATACCTGGGGATTTTATATAATGCCTAAAACTAGCCAGAAATGCGTAAAACGATTCATGTTTCATACTTTTCCTAGGCATTCTATAGAATGCCAAATGAGAAACTATCAAAGTAGGAAGTGCATCTTCGATTTGTGTGGGGTATCACGTGACTTGCTACGAAAATTTCGCCTTAAAAATTTGTTTCCCTTAATAAGAAAGGCATAGTTTGAAACTCGGCATTGTATATAATGCCTGCAACTAACTGACGATCTAAGAAACGATTTATATTTCACACATTTCTTAAGCATTCTATAGAACATCAAATGAGAAACCAGCTAAGTATGAAATGCGTCTTCAATTCGTTTCGAATAACACGGCAAGGCACATGACTTATTTATACTTTACCGTATGAAGTCACGTGCCTTGCTAACAAAATTTAAACGAAAATTTCGTTTCCCTTAATAAGATAGACATAAACTTCGTTTTGTTATAACTTCCATTTTCTTTACGTAATTTGAATAATTTTTTTTAATGGCGCTGTCATTATTTTTTCAGAATAACACTTTTATTTTTGAGGAATGTCCTTCTTTCATATTATAGTCTTATCAGGTTCATACTTTGCCTAAATAGCATTTGTCATTCTATAGAAATCCTAGGTATTATATACAGTCCCCAGGGAAATTATGAAATAATTTTCATACTTTGCCTGAAAAAGGTTTTTTATTAACCGCTTGGATAATCTATAACATGCCGGCGCTTCATACTTCTCCGGTAACATCTACACATTTGCTGGACTGTTATGCAACAATACCTCACTTGTCTAGACAGTAAAGTTGGAGCTTCTCACTTCTTGAAAAATTCAAGATGGTGGCAAACGACTACCTCGGAGGAAGGAAAAATTTCAGGTTTTCAATTTGGCTATAAACTCCAACTTTCAGATGAACTTGCAGCTTTTACCGTGATATTTATGTATTCAACTATTTTTTGTGCCACAGAAATTGTTAGCTCTGAGTTTAAATTAACTGATTAATAATACAGTCTAACCCCGATGTAATGAACCCATGGGACCATGATGTTAAGAAATTGTGTCATTATATACATTATTGTTTTTTAATTGAAATTAAAAAGCAGTCAAAATCACTTCCTTGGGCAATCTAGTGTCATGGAAATTTCCTTGCAAAGAAACTCGATATAGTAAATAATTTTATAATTTTATAAAGCAAATTATGTACTACTGTAATCATTATTACCAACTATACTACTGTATTTTTATCGATTTTAGGAATCTAAACTATCTTCCATAGTGGGCTTATGTCAGTTGGTTCGCTATAACAGGGTTCGACTGTATTAATACAATAGTTTTACAATTTACCTTTAATTATGTCCACATCATAAGTTGCTGGTTCGTAGTTATCGGAATGACAGGCATATTTTCCCTTGTCATTCGGCGTTGCATCTTTAATGGATAGTTTTGAAACATATTTGAAAGCACTAATATTCTCAACAGTTGCGTGAATCTTTGAAGAATTTGATTTGTATTGGTCAGGTATTTCCTTGTCATTGTGGTACCACTTCACATAATATGGCTCACTTGGAACAAAGATGCAAGTCAGCTTGATATCTTCCTTTTCTTTAACTTTAACATCTAGAGGTCCTTCGGGGATAGCTCTGCCAATAACTATATTAATGAAGATAAAAAAAAAATTTTTATTAGTTTATTTAAGGTAGTCATATTCAAAATTTATTTAGAGCTGTATGATAATTTAACTAAAATCCAAACTGGGCATAAAAGTAGGAGAAGGAGACGAATATACATCAATTAAAAAATTAGTGGAAGAGTGGAGATTAATACTTTCAGCAAAATGATCGCCAAATTTTGGCGACTGATGGGCCGTGGCATGAGAAATATGAAGGAACGAAAGCAAGAAGGAAAAATTCTTAGTGTCTGTCAAATCAGAAGGGTAAAACTCGTAATTTTTCCAGGCAAGTCGCTGTAGATACATATATTTTTAAAACTTATTCTAAATAGAAGAACCAGGCAATTTTATGCGTAAATCAGAGTTTATCTAAAACATATTATCTTAAATTTAAATATTTTTGAAATTCGTAAGAAAAAATTTAATTGTCCAGTAAGTGCTTACAATTTTAAATATTTATTATAAATGCTTATTTATCTTTTTTATCCTCTGTCATAAATTAGATTTGAAACAAAGCAAAATAGAAAAAAAACTTTAAATGTTTATTAAATACATAATTAATTTATTAAATACACTTTTATTAAATAAATAATTAATAGTAATAAAAAAATAAAGAAACGCTCTATCTTCTAAAAATAATTTTTCACCTGAGCAAATCCATTTAGTAGTAAACATTTTTAATGAAAATATGTTAAATGAAATAATTAAAATCTGATAGCAATTTCTTTTAAATACAATTTATTATATCGGTCGGTGTTAATATAAATAGGTAATCTTAATTTTCGCTATTCCTTTAAAGTTCAAAACCGATACAAAAAATGAAATTATAAAGAATATAGATGTTACTGTGAATGACCGAAATAGGTGGATGTTAACTTCCATCTGCGAATATTGACAATCACATAGTAGCTTTGGTAAAGTGCCACTCTCCGGTATACATTTGCCCAGTATACCCTACACTGGTGTTTTTGCAAATAAAAATAACAAGATACCGGGAAAAAAATTAATAAAAATCCGGAAAGTAAAAGATATACTTTTTTCATCATCTCACACGATTATATCCACGAAAAAGAGTGCTTTCTAATATTGTATCAATATAGCCAAAGCAAAATATATCAATACAATAGTGTGAGGATCACTCAAACAAATTTTGAAAAAAAATTACAAAAATTTTGTTGTAATTTTTTACGAGTGTAATTTTGTAACGGGGTTAGACATTTATTATTATTTTTACCAATTTTATCTCAACAGACGTAAACCTCATCGCATCTGTAAAACTGTCCAATGCATTGTCCAACGGTGCACCGGAATTCCTCTTTAGGACAAGTCCTCTTGTCACTATTTTTCTAATCGCTTTCGTCTTTGAAGGAAGCATATCCATTTCTTACACATAATTTATCGCAATAATGACCATAATAATTGACCATTTAACCTACTGAGCATATTAGCATTTTAAACTAATATTTAAAAAGAAATAGTAATTGTTAAAATAGTTAACCATTAAAATTGACCAGGTAAAGTAATCGATACTTTGCCAGTGAAACTATTAAGTGAAAAGGGAGAATAATTTAAAAATTTTAAAACTTACAGCAACTGATTTCATCACTTCTATCCCTGCAATGGTAAATTCCATCACATCTATAAAACTTTTCAATGCATTGTCCACTGGAACATCGGAATTCATCTTCGTGGCAAGTTCTCTTGTCACATTCTACCTCGTCGCTTCCATCCTTGCAAAAGGCATATCCATCACACACGTATGACCTATCTGCACATTGGCCACTTTTGCACGCGAATGGTTTGTTAAAGATTTTGCTGCAATCTGCATGAAAAAAAAAGTTCATATTTTTCTTTTGTTTCAATCGATATTACATACAAGTTATGCTCTGCATTTTTAACTAGCAGAAGCAGAATAAAAATAATAAGGCCCTATAAATTGTGCAGTGACGCGAATGATACAGAAAACCACAACAATCAATGAATATCCATTAAATTTTTATTTTTCTTCAAAATATCTTAATTTAAAGGGTAAAACTCGTCTTTACTAAGACAAATTAGATAATTTTACAAATGGCTTGTTGATTTGAACCATTTTTTAATGTGGCCATATTTTAAAACGTGTGGCCACTTTTTTTCAAAAATTGAAAATATTAAACGATTGAAAACTTTGCAAAGTTTATTTTTAAAATGAAAAACAAGTGTGAAACAAATTGAATTTCCGTATATTATAAAATATTCATAATAGTTCCAAATTTAAAAAAAAGAAATCATAATAAAATGTGAGAAAAAAATGCGATCGGCAGATAATTTTTAATCTATCTGTGGTCAGTGACGATCGTCAATGTAGCAATATACATGACTGCCTCCAATTCCAAGAATCGTTTATACTTGATTATAACCTATAAACTAGTAAACTAAGTAGTGTTTGTGCTTCGTAGTTCAATCTACTATAATGGAGCTAAATCCACTTACGATCTAATTTTTAAGAAATTATGGCAAAGTTTGTTCAGTTTCTGGAAGAATTCTACTTCACTTTAAATAATTTTAATAATTCCTGTGATGTTAAACATGGATGTAAAGTAATTTAGTCAAAATCTTTACCGCAATAATTGAAACATAATTAAAATCAAAACTAAATAAATAAACCAAATTTCCTCATAAATTGAAATTTTTTTCGAATTTAAGTAGTTTTTTTATGTTATTCTTAACTCGTCTGCATAATCAGAAAAAAACAATACTGTATCTATGATGCCTAATTTTTAAAAGTATTTTAACGTAAATTATAAGTCTCTAAATTTTACTTTAAAAAATTTAAAAAAAAGTATTTCAAGAGTGTAAATGTATTTTTCGAAAATTTTTTAATTAGAACATTTTTGGAAAAAAAGGAGGTATTTGAAACATTTGAGGTGTGCAATCAAACGATATATCTTCGCGATAAACGATATATTTTTTAAAAATTGCAATAGCGATATTGTCAATATATTCTCCTGATATATCGTAAATATCATGTCTTACGAAAAGTACCATACGTTCGATTATTATCGCCAATCAGAATACCGCGATATTATAAACAACGTATATATAATATANTGATTGTTACAAAGTCCGGTATCTAACTTTAAAATTTTTACCATGAATTCGGGAACACCCTGTATATATATATATATATATATATACTACTTACCAATCTATGTTAGGACACCCATGCAAATTAGGGTATCTGTGGTCCTGATCTGCTTCACAGCTGTCTGACTTCGATACAGAGCTGTCTGACTTCGAGAAAAGCGTAATTGTCAAGTATCATATAGAAACGGCTGATCCGTAAGTGAAATACCTCGTGAGTTAAGCATAACAAAATAGACAGTTATTTTTGTGATTAAGCAGGTGATTGTCGGAACGTGCCTCGACCCGGCAGACCCACGAAACTAACAGAGTTCAATGAGTGTTGTCCAACGAAATTCGGAAAACCACCCCAAACCGATTGTCCATAAGGAGTTGCAACAAGCACCATGGAAATGTTGTTTTGATAAATTCCGTTCATGAACAGTTGTTTTCCACGGTCGCACTGCTATCCATAACGTTCGAATACAAAATCCAAACGCACTGTCCAGTTGAAGTGGTGCAAGGCATGTCAAAATTGAACAGTAGACGAGTGGAAACTGGTTCTCTAGAAAGATATATCAAGGTTCTATCTCTATCATTGTGTCAGTAGTATCTTTAAGTAGCGTCAGGGCTTAGCGTATGTTGGGATTATGGTGCAGCATGTTACTATATGGTATGGACCGCGATCCTCGACTCTCATTCCGCTGATTTTAATCATATGGATCCTAATTCTATGGATCATAATTCCATTGACCTATTTGGTTTCATGACAATTGCCGTATGGACCAGCCCAGAATGCAGACCTGAATCCTATAGAAAACATTTAGGACTAGTTAGAACTCTGAATAAAGGGCGCAGCAACTTGAATTTGTGAAAAAGCTTGCATGCCTTTTTCAAGTCAAGTGGAAGAAAATACCATTTGCTCATCATCCAAATACTTATGGGAAGCAGGGTCCGGAAGGTTCAGGTGACTAATTATTGTTCGTTCACCAGGAATTGCACTTGGCTCCACTTACATCACGTGGTATCCGACGATACTATGTCGCTATTTTTGGGAAAAGGATGTGAACAATCAAAATGAACATTAAATTATATGGATGTGAACAATCAAAATGAACATTAAATTATATGGATGTGAACAAGGTGCTATTTGGCGATCGTATGACAAAAATATTTATTTCGCAATTTTTATGTGCATTTTTTTTAACATTGCATTTTATTTCATAAATTTGATGATATTTCTCTCTTTTGAGTGAATAGTTTGTACTTTTTGAGATATTTGCTGTGATAAGAGCAGTTTTTAAATGTAAAATATATTTAATTAGTTAAAGAAACGAAAGGTATAATAGCCGATGATAAAGCAAAGTAATTGATTGAAAAAGAATTCATTGTTTGCATTTGGTGCACATTAAGGGTTGTCTCAATTTCAAGCTCGGAGATGTTTCTCCTCTTACACCCGGGCTGAAATAAACTTAGATTCCGAGGAGGTGGAGCCAAGTGCCATACCTTCTGTGCAGGGACTACAAACTATTGAATCGCGTCTATTTATGTTATAACAGGTGTCCAATTACATATATATATATATAAAAATATATATATATATAT